AGAATTCCCCAGCCAGCAAAGCAAAGCAAAGCTGGCTGGGGAATTCTGGGAGTTGAAGTCCACGCATCTTCAAGTTCCCAAAATTGAGGAACACTGATGTAGCCGAGGGCAATGACATCAAGGTGGGTTCATTCATTACATTTAAATCCCACTTTTCCTCCTGCAACTAACAGCAGAGCACTCAGTCCATCCCCTTCGGGACAGCACTGTGGGGTACGCTAGGGTCGTAGTTTATCTCCCAAACATCCCGACGCTTATGGCATGGGAGGACTCTCTCTACCGGCTCCTTTCCGGCGGACAAAGCCCTGAAATGCAACACTAAGGCTGCCGCCGCCACCAAAGACGAGCCTGGAAGAATTTGGTAGCGGTTGCTGCATAGAGCTTGTAGCCCTTCCCCCCATGAATTCATCCCAAACTTTCTTCGTTTCAGCTAAGGGGAAGAAGGGTTATTTGATGAAGCTGTTGTAAAGGTATGGGAATTAACTCCATCCCTGACTTAAGAATAGGAGCAAGTAAGGGCAGATGGGAAAGGTGGATCTGGTTGATCTGGGCCTGGAGACTTCTATGTGCTGTAATTTCCAGGCCCCCCTGAATCGACTCTCTTCCTCTCTACCCTCCTCCTGATAAATCTCATGCCACATAATCTGTTATTTCTGTCAAATGCTTCCCAAAAGTTGTAGCTGTAGTTACCTGAACTTGAAAGTAGTTCTCGGTGAAAGCGACTTCTGAGATTGTGTAAGATACCCCAGTGTACATATGTATAAAATAGATTCTGGTTTCCATTAACAGTTAACAGCATCAGAATAGATCACAAACCAAAAGCAAACTGCCGGCAAAAAAATAAAAAAATTAAAGACCAAGAAAAGAAGCAGAATCTAACAAAAGCCTGGGATAATAAAACAAAGTTTTCCAGATACTTATATAACAACAGGTTGGTTGTTTTAAAAGGATGGAGAAGGCCGTGTCTCTAGTTACTGCCCATTTGATTTCAGAAGGCTGCAAAGTTTCTAATTGGTTCTAAACTAACATAGCCTGTGCCTGATTTTACAGGTAGAACAGTGGCTATGAGCAAACAAATGTATTCAAATTGATAAGCATTGTAGGAGAAGAGCTATGTTTAGTCATGTTAACAAAAAATTCAGAAGAGTCTGGCAGCACCTTTTCTGACTAACACATTTTATTAAAAGACATCAAGTTGTAGAGTCCTTGGTGCTCTCTGAGCTTGGTTATTTGCTTGCAGATGTTCCATTACCCAACTATTATAGGTAATATCATCAGTGTGAGGGAGTGTGGGATTTGCTCCCTGTTTCACTGCCCTGCCAGTGTTGGTGGGGGTGTGTTTTTCTCCTTGGTAGTTCCTTGATTAAGGTATTGTTTTCTCTTTGATTGTTTGCCTGGTGTTAATTCCTGCTGTTAGACAGACAAAAAAGCTAAGAAGGAAACAAAAAGACCAGAATACATCATCTCCAACAACCAACATGCAGGGATTAACACCAGACAAACAATCTAAACAGGGAGCAAACCCCACACTCACTAGCACTGATGATGTTACCTAGTTGGGTAATGAAATGTCTGCAAGCAAGCAACCAAGCTCAGGGAGTTAAGGTATTGTTTTCTCTTTGATTGTTTGCCTGGTGTTAATTCCTGCTCTTAGACAGACAAAAAAGCTAAGAAGGAAACAAAAAGACCAGAATACATCATCTCCAACAACCAACATGCAGGGATTAACACCAGACAAACAATCTAAACAGGGAGCAAACCCCACACTCACTAGCACTGATGATGTTACCTAGTTGGGTAATGAAATGTCTGCAAGCAAGCAACCAAGCTCAGGGAGCATCAAGGACTCCACAGTTCAACCTTGAGCTACATATATTCTCTTCTTTTGGAGACATCAAGTTATACCTTTTTAATAAAATGTGCTAATCAGAAAAGGCGCTATCAGACTCCTGATCAAGTTGCTGAAATGACTTAACGGCTGAACAGGTTATCTTAACTATCAGTGGAAAGTTGGGAAGGCATCTTGGACTGCTAGTCCAGATCAGCTTGTGAAAAACAGATCTGTATATCAGAAAATGCTTCTTCTCCATCCTCCTGCAGGAATTACAACGTACGTGAAAAATGCATGGGGCAAGGAACCAGTGATCGTAAGCTCCTTTGTCATTGCAATTGTGGGTGAGTCTACGCTGATGATCCCTGAGACCCAACTATATTTTATTCTTTAACTTAATTTTATAGTGTGCTTGAGATACTAGAGGGGAGGGTTGTGGCAGCAGCCCTCACAGTGGGGCATTAAGCAGAACCAGGATTAGCTTTAGAAAAGAATATTGCATTGAAGTATTTCCAATCTTAGCCCCTTTCCCAATCCCTAGCCATTTTTAGCACGGGACCCACCTTGATACAGGGGACAGGCTGGGGCTTGGGTACAGGCACTACTTAGTGTGAAGAAAATCCCAGGTTTAATTCCAGACACCTTCAGTTTGGGAAATTCCTGGAAAACCACGGAGTCATTCTAGAGAATGTTGAGGAATATCTAAACCACGGGACTAATTTAGTCTATAAAATTGGCCTACCATTTCAAGGAATGATGGTCAGGGACTGGCCAGTGATCAATAATGGGTTCATTTATGGTAGCTTTGTATGTTGCTGGATGGCCAGCGTGCAATATATATTAAATGTATTTCTGGCATGTATCTGTTCATTTTTTCAGCTGGAGCACTGCCATGGGTGAGCCCCTATGCGCGTTATTCCGCATTAATGAACAAGGCCATGCCATATCACTACCCAGGTACAATTATATAGAGAGTTTCTGCTTTTTAGAAGCAGTTTTGAATCCCTTTGCTAGGGATAGCAAAGCAGCAGCATCAATTATTTTATTTATTCTTATTTTCATCCGTTTTCATCCATTTTTAATATGCAACATGTTGCACAGATGCATGTGACTGAACCATTTCTTGGGAGCAAGGTATCTGAAGAGAGACAGAATGATGAGATGAAGTTCTAGAGTAATTAAACTATTTTTTTTCCTGCTTTAATTTTCAATCAGGTTGGGCAGGCAGAGAATTGGCACCATTAAGAGACAAAATGGAAAAATGGGGGGGAAAGTCCTATTTCCAGGTTTCTCTGTGCTGGCAGAGGATGGTTTACTGATAGCATTTGTGCATCCCAACCATTATGGTATGTAAGCCATAAGTTATAACTTAGTGTGCTGAGTCAATTGTAGGTAAGTCAGTGAACCAAATCTAATGTAATTATGCTGAATTCACACATGCTAGGATACATTTTGCTTAACCAGAGATTAAATAAACTGTAATTAGCTGGATTCACATAGTACCCACAGCATGTTTTTCAACTGGTGGTAGATGGGTTTACATAATATGCTTAGCCACAAGCAAGCAAGCCACATTTTGCCTTAGTATGTTGGGTGTGAAAGTAGCCCCTGAATAGGTTTACAGATCGAATTTACCCATAGTTTACAGAGCACAAAGGCAGGATTTGTTCCCCATGCTAAGCCCAAACCAAACAAGCACATTAGGTTTAGTATAACGTGTGAACCCAGGCATTGAGTCAAGTGTTTCATGTCCTTCCTTATAATAAGTAATTATACCAGTGTTGCTGCTGGACGTTTACAGTATGCACATTTGATTTGACTGTCATGTTCTTCCTTTCTTTTATCACAGTCCCAGTTCGAGATGATGGCAATATGCCAGACATTCCCGCTCACCCTTGTGACAAGGAAGGCGAGCAGCTTGAGTGGCTGAAGAAATCAGCAGTGTGAGAGCTACCACTGAAGAGGCAGATCTGCTCCCCACAAGGTTCCCCTGCCTTGGTTTTACATGTGTGCTGTTCCCAGGGGGCAATAAATTTCCTGTTGAACCCAAAAGCAGGCTTCTCTGTCATTGTGGCTAGAAATCCAAATCAGGGGGAAAATGTCTTGGAATCCTATCCCACAAAATCAGATTGCTTAAAGCTCCTAGATTTAATCAAGTCGTGGGTTTCTTTGACTAACGGAACCGGGAATAGCAGTTTCCTAAGAATTGAGTCTGATACCATTGCACAAACAGCCGCTTTAAGAAAAGCAGTGGCAGCCTGCCGCATCAGTTGGGGAAGAAAAAGATGGACAGCACCCTGTATTTCATAGTTATCAAGGAATATAAAAATGCCTTAAGGGAGGTGCAGAGAAGGCAGGCTACACACTATCAGAAAATTGTTTGGAATAAACTGGTGAGGAGTTTTTTTTAGTCCCCAGTTATTTACTAACAAGATTTCCTTCCTTCCTTCTACCTCCCAGTTCTAAATTAGGGTATTGAACCAAAGTCTTAGGGAAAATTTTGACTGGATTTACACATGCTAAGCCATAATATGGCTTATTTGGTTTTGAGATAGCATGATGTATCAATGCAACACAATTATTTCTACACTTAGGTCAGTCAATGATTTAATATGCTATACAGGCCCAGCTAATTGTAGTTTATATGCCTGATTCACCCTCCTTGGTAGAGCCAGGGAGTGCTAATAAAATGCAGGCAGTTTGTACAATATATTAAGCTGACTGGTTCATAAGAGTATGCTTATCTCCGTCTTACCTCCCTTACAGAGTGCGCTGCACTTTTAAGGTTTATCTAAGGCTAAGCATGTCATAGCAATCCAGAATGATTGCCAGTTCGGTCTACAGGAACTGAAATTTTCCCTTTAAAACACAGCCAGTATCATACTACACTGCTACAACCATAGTATTTTCCCCTCCTAAATAGTTATGAAAGCTTTAGGAAGAAAGAACTAGTTTGAAAATAAAGTTAGCTACTGATCTCAAATTCTGGCTTCTGCAAGCTAAAGATTCCAGGTTTCCATGACCCCATTAGCCTTCCATAACCCGTGTGTGTACGCACACATGTGCATGCCTTTGAATCAGTGTTGACTCCTGGCAACTGCTTGGATAAGACCTTGCAGTTTTCTTGGCAAGGTTTTTCAGAAGTGGTTTGCTCTTGCCCCTTTCCTAGGGCTGAGAGTGAGTGACTGGCCCAAGGTCATCCAGCTGGCTTCATGCCTCAGGTAGGACTAGAACTCACAGTCTCCCGGTTTCTAGCCTGATGCCTTCACCACTACACCAAACTAGCTCTCTTACACTTTACACAGCCCTTAGGTCTTGGTTAAAGGAGGCACACCACAAGATGTACTGTTAATGAAAGTGTACACCTTGTCAAGTCTGGTTGGCTTAGGGCATTATGCAAATCTGTCACAAAGTAGAAGCCATAAGCTTGAACATTACTCAATCTTACTTTTGTAACTCTTCTAAAGCCAAAAAGGCAAGTAGACTGCAGCGCTGGTTTGTTCAAAATAAAGATTATCATTCCTAAATCGAGGGTATATTTGGAGGTGGAGATGGGTGGGTGGGTCTGGTCATTATGGCTGCCAGAAAAGTCTTGAAAATCTTTGGATATTTGCTTGGGGGAAAAACAACAGGAAAGGGTGCTAGTATCTTGCTCTCTTCTGGACTGGCAAAGATATACTAAGTTCTCAAACTGACAAACAATTTGCACAGATACACATGTCAATGGCACAGAAATGATTTCCTTTAATACACACTCAATTGGCCTTTTGATCAAGCTGGGTCTCATGATGCCATCGATCAAGACACTCCTAAAACTCTTCAAGGTTAGAAGAGGTCAGTCTTCTCCCAGCACTTGGTTTGCCAGCTACGAACATCCACAGAAAACGCCAAACACAGTGACAACTGTTTCTGTGCACTTTCTAATGCACAAGAACTACTTTTCCCTTTCCCACACCCACCAGAATTACAAATCCAGATTCCAGAAGGGTAAGTGCGGAAAGGCTGAACACTCTGACCTCTCGTAAGGGCCTTCCCTCAACTCTGAACATGTACAAGTGTTTCTGCTCAAATACTTACTGCCCCATTTAAAGTTTATGGACATAGGAGTCCATTTGAGTCCATTGCTCAACTCAGGCCAATGACTGAAGCTAAGTCATTGAATATGATTACACAATGACTCCAAAGTTTTGCTCCTTGCTAAAGTCTCATCACAATTCATTTCTTCTTCTAGCACCCCCCACCCTAGCAGCTCACTCATATTTCAGATCAGCTTTGACCAGGTTAGTGTCGAGGAGTCAAATGGAGTCAATATCCTGCTGTTCCTTAAATCTGGGTTGATACTCCAAGGAAAAAAGACACCAGCAAGGAATTTTCATCTTCTCAGGCACCTGATGGCCAGTCTACCCCAGGAGGGAGGTAACTGCTATATGGGTACGTATGCTTCCCTTAGATGACTGGCCAGCCTCAGTCAAAATCGGAACAGGCACCAGGGCTGGAAAACTTTGAGTAATGGAGTAACTTGTCCTGGGGACTGGATTGCTGCCAGGCAGGGGCGAGAACATCATCCTGTTCACACTGGAAATCCTCTTCAGATTTTATCTGCAGCCACAAAACCCAAAATTTATTAGCACTTATTACATAGGAGTCATCACTCTGCAGTTAAAATAAGCCAGGTAGATTGCATATTTTTGTGTTATTTTAAGTGTTCCCAATAAAGATATCAACCACCTCTAGATTTTGATTTCCCTTGCCCCACAACTCAAAACAACTATGGTTGCCTTTTAAGTTTGGCCAAGTTTGCTAATTTAAGGAAAACAGAAATGCAAATGCAATTGTTTCCCAGCTTCTGGGATGTGAGTGATTGTGTCTTCACCTCTATCCATAAGCAGCATAGTGGAAGGACTAAAAACATTTTGTAATCTAAATTCATGTTAGGTAATGTTCATTGCTGATGACTTCTGGATAAGCATATATGCAGTCATTTGATGTATAGGAGCACAAACATGATCTTGGAGAAAATATGTGGTGACCATTATTTAAAAGATGAGCTTAGCCTGGGAAAAGAAGGAAGTGTGAAAAAGAAACTCAAGATTGCCCCACCTTGACTCTCTTTGGTATAACAGAGAGGGAAGGGGAAATCCTGTCAGGCTTCCAAGATTCTGTTATTATAGCCTACATACAGATAGTCCTCGCTTAACAACCCTAACTGGGACTGGAATTTCCATTGATAAGTGAAGCAGTCGTTAGGCGAAACGTGATCACATCACTTAGCGACAGTAATTCTGGTAGTCCTGGTTGTAATTGTTAGGCCAGGACCATACCATCATTAGATGAGGACCTCACACTTCTCCTGCCCTGCTTGCTTCCGCTTCAACTACCCCACCTGTCTATCTCCCAATCATCTCTGTTCTTTGGGCTGCCCTGCACTCTGCCACCCCTGCTGCCCCCCACCGCCCCCAGCTGACCTTTGCCATCTTCTCCCTCCCACTGCTGACGAGGCATGCCTGCCCTGGCCCTTCATGAGGCAGCTGCTGGCTGCACGAGGCCCTCCTGAAGTTGCACAAGGCCCCAGGAAGGCCATGTGGAGGCCTCAGGAAGGACCAGCAGCTGCCTTGGCTGGACACGCCTTGTCAGCAGTGGGAGGAAGAAGATGGTGAAGGTCAGCTGAGGGGGGGTGGGGGTATTGGAGTGCTGGGCAGTGGGGGTGCAGGGTGGAGTGCAAGGCAGAGGGGGCAGCAGAGAGCAGGGGCAGCAGAGCACAGGATGGCCAAAAGGGCAGGTATGGAGCAGGGAGATAGGCAGGAGGCTGATTTAGATTGCAGGGTCATTAAACCTTAGTACCTGCACAGGAAATTCCTCCATGGGCAGCAATGTTGGGGCTGCTCGCCGCATCCTCCCTTCCTTCTCCTCTCGCAAGTGACGTCGCCGCTTCTTGCTGATGGGGCCTTCGCTAGGGGAGAGGCTCTCTGGCTCTGGGGCAGGCAGGCACCTGGGGGTTTCTTTCGCACAGGGCTCATTCTCTGCATGGCCAGGTGTTGGAACATCTGCACCATGGATCCCTTCCTCCTAAGCAGAGAATGCAATGCAACCGGAATTCTTCCATTCTTCCAGTTTAACGTTTTCCCCCAATGGAAACCACGTGGTATTTGCAGTGTGTGTTGGGGGGGTGCAGGGAGACTTGCCCTTGCTTTTCTATCTAGCTTGGGGAGTTGAATGAACAAACCAATGAAGGTAGCAAAGAACTCAAGCCTGGCTCCTCCCTACAAAGGCACTTACAGCTTCGTGGCATTTGGCCATCAAATTCTTCTATTTCTGCAGAAAGCAAGTGCAGAAAGGCAACAGTTCTGGAACTCTATAGGAGGGCAGCAAATGGTGGATGACAATTAAAGGGGAATGCAAAGCATAACTGGGATTCCCAGGTTGCAGCAAAGGCAACAGTTCTGGAACTCTATAGGAGGGCAGCAAATGGTAGATGACAATTAAAGGGGAATGCAAAGTATAACTGGGATTCCCAGGTTGCAGCAAAGTATGAATTGTTTAATCATGGTTTACCAATTAAGCCACCATTGGCCGTATTCATGCAAAGCACTAAGCCAGTGTTTCTCAACCGTGACAACGTTAAGATGTGTAAACTTCAATTCCCAGAATTCCCCAGCCAGCCTAGGGAGCTACATTTGGCAGGCCCTAGGTGGCAGGCCTTTTCTGCTGTGGTGCCCAAGCTGAGGAATGTTCTCCGCTGAGGTTGGCCTCGTCATTGTTGAGCTTCTGGAGGTCCCTTAAGACCTGGTTATGCCAGCAGGCCTGGGGACCCCAGAGGACGGGAGAATTAGTGAGGTGTCTCCCTTATTTTAACATCCTTTTTTTCTCTGTTCTATTCTGATTTTATTTTTAATCTATTTGTTTTTAGCTTTATTGTACGCCACACAGAGTCGCCTGTGGTGAGATGGGCAGCTATATAAATTGGTTAAATAAATAAATACACTTGGCTCCTGACACTTGCTGCCCTCTTCCACTTTCTTGACTCTGTCAGAGGCTCTGCTAATTCTTCGCTCATCCACGTTGTAATTTTATGTTTAAGCTGCATTCACACATTACAGAGTTTGCTTAACCATGGGTGATTGCATAAGACACAACCGAGTTCACATATTGTGCTAAGGTTTAAACCATCATTTAGAAACAATATGTATGAATTCATACAACCCCTAAACAAACAATCTTAAAGTTTAAAGCAATGTGTAAACCCAGCCTAAATCTAAGACTCTTTCTTACCTCCAAGACAATATCAAGGTGGCCTTGTCTGTAATCGTCACCATAGGAATCCAAAACTCTCATGAGAAACCTCAAGGAAATAGAAAGACATTCTTTTAAACTAACCCTTTGGTACAGCTGTGTTCTTTTGTAACTAGGAATTCTGTCTCACAAAATGAAAAATGGGGTGAAAATAGATAGTTTTAAATGGAAGAAGTTAAAATTCATCTGTTTGGTATAAACATGCAATGGAATCTCTTTGTTCAGAAGGAATGCTGCCTTTAAATCTTGCTGAATTACAACTCCCAGAAGGCCCAGCTGGTATAGGTCATAGCTACCAATCCTGGGACCTACAGCTCAGCAAAGTCTGGAATGTCACAGGTTGCCCATCTAAACTAAATGTCTTTTGGGTCCGATCCAGTTAGTTTTTAAAATTGTAGCACTGAACAAAGGGGGATATATTTAACACTTTGCGCCTACCATATCTTCTGACTCACCTCCTTTCCTGTTTGAGACGCAGCGTTATTCTCTGGACCTGATGGAGCCGGTTTAACATTCTCTCATTCACCTATAATAGGGATCAATATTAGCTGGACATCTTTTTCCCACTTGCTCAACAGTTCCTCCCTCTTCCTCCTCAGTCTTCACTTAACAGTTGTGTCACTTAAATTTTTCACTGTTGTTCTATGTAGTATCCACATACTTTTTTCTGCACACACAGAGTTAGTGTACTATTGTGAACAGCATGCTGGATTGAGGCCAAGGAGACCTAGGTTCAAATCTTCATCCAGCCTTATGTACTAAGGGACCTCTCCCACACTATCTCTCAAGGGTCTCTTATTTTACAAGGTTGTTGGGAAGTTGTTTATTAAAGGTGTCCCTGTTTCAATATCAAGCCATTTCCGAAACATTCAAAACAGACTGTTCTGAGATAAGAATATTCCATAATGGGATATTTTGCACACTACTGCTTTTTATATTAAAAAGAGTTATAAAGTAGTTCATTAGTAAAGCATATGTGTTTGCCTGCAAAATATCCCAATATTGGTTTCTGCTATTATCAAGTAGGACAGGGATTAGCAACAATCGAAACTGGGATTAGCAACAATCAGTAAAAAAACAAATTCTTTGTTACTCTCTTCTATATAGTTAAAAGGCTAAGGTTCCAACCTTTTCCCCCCATCAGATTCTAACAAAATTTGAAATCAAGAACTTTTAAAAACAATTTTACAACCAATAACCTGACTGTACTATCAAAGTTTCAAAATCACACAGCCTGTTCCTACAACTACAACATTTTACAATAGAATCCCAAAGCCACCAGGGACTAAATGATTTACAAATACTTCAGTAGAGAACATATTAACAGGCAAAAGTCTCATGTTCAATCCCTGGCTTTTCTGTATAAATTATCTCAGATTAACGCATTCTAGAGTACTGTAAAGAACAAGCATAATGTACTGTAGTTGGAACAGAACAAGAAAAATCAAGCTACGTGTGTGCACTCTCAGGCATGGATAGTCATGTACTGATTCTGGGTCAGCTGCTGACTCACAATGCAGCCTAACTCATAGGGTTGTTTTGTAAGAATAAAACGGGAGGAAAAAGAAATATCCAAACCACATTTTGCCCCTGAAGAAATCGCACAATATAAACAAAATGGATACATGACTGTAAGCAGTCAAAATGGACCATACTGGACTAGACAGATTAGTGTCTTGCTCTGCATAAAGCAACATGATTAACCTATGGCCTAACCGTCACAGCAACCCTATAACTATCCCCTATTCCTTTCTTTATTAACAAATAGAAACATTGTTAATAAATAGGGGAAAACATATTCACTCCAACCTTATACCTGCTCTAACTCCTTGCATCGTCGGGCAAGCACTTGACACTTGCGTCGAGTCATCTCCTGTTGCCGCAACATACCCTCCTCCTCCTCTTCTTCTGGTATCCCGCCATCAGCAAATTCCACCTCAGTCTCTAATTCACTTTCTAGGATATTTCCACCAAAAAGAGGGGGCAATGCCAGCTCTGAGCCAGGAGGCACCGAAAATTCTTCAAAACTCACAGCAGCCATGACTCTGTTCTAGAAATTTAAAGAGAAAGCAATATGTAATTAGATATGAACTATCCACAGCTACATCAATTTGATCACAGCAAGGTGATTCAAGTATGGACTTGAAAAGCATTACACCTTTCCAAATATCTGAGCCAATCACTCTGTCAGCCTAACCTACCATAAAGGGTTGTTGTTGTGGGGGGGAAAATAGCAGAAACAAGTGGTCCTGAAGGAAGAATATAAATCTATGAAATAAAGAGGTAAATCCCCTTTTCCTCCATCATTTAAAATAGAGGGATACAGGACCAGGCCATTTATAATCACCTCTACTGATTTATTTGGAGTAGGTACTAATCCTGTACATATTTTTTGTGAAAATAAACCCTGCTCAATTACATGGGACCTGCTTCTGATCATATAAGATTGTACATTTTCCCTTCAGTTTCTAGCTCAAAACAAATGTAAGAGCAGAGAATATAATTTAAGGAAACCATTTCCAATCCGTTGCCTTCAGATTTAGTGCATTTGGAAATTCCCAGCCGATGGCCATACTTGCTAGGAAAACGGAAAATGCAATTTCAACACTTTTAGAGAGTACCGAGTTGAATTATGCTCGGTTTGAATTACAGTAGTCACAAGCTAAATAAAACTTATTCCAGTGAACTGACTAGAATGGCTTAATTCTGGTCAGAAAGAGGCATCCATTAACGCTTGTGAAAATGAGGCGAAGCTCCACTTTTGGAGAGTCTCCAAAGGACGGCTTACAACTGCGGTCGTGGGAATTGTAAGCGTCCGACACAAGTGAACAGTGTCAGGCTGCAAAACGCCAGTTCTGATATGCGAAAGAGCTTCTAAAAAGGGACTTTCTAAGACATCAAACTTACCTCAGTCTGCACGCTACTCCTACCTTTTCCAATGAGACCACGAAAAATACAGGGACGACCCGGCGCTGACTGATGACGTACAGAAGCAACTAACAAAAGTGCTGCGGCAACAAAGAAGCTTCGTGCCCGCAGTTTAATTGAAGGAAAAGAGGCGTCGCCCTCCGATGACCTATGAGCATAAGTTGACCATACCCTGATAGAAGAGCCTGTCGCGTCGCACTTACGTACACATGGGGCGTGTTTTCGATCCCGTTCCTCCGATCATTTCAGGCACGAAGTCTATAGGGAAGGGTTCGAAGGAAGGTCGCGCAAGGAGGGGTGGTGACGTCACCATGCATTTCGGAGGCCCGCGACCATAGAGTAGGCATTGCAGAGCGACACACCGTCTGAATAGAAATGGGAGAAAGCCATTGGCCGCGGTTCTCAACGGCCTCGAAGCGGAACGATTGCTTCGCTTATTTCCAGGCGCCCATAGAGTTAAGGAGGCAAAGCTGTCCTCTGCTCACGCGGCATTACGCCACGCAAATGGCGTCCAAACCGGAATCGGAAGTAGTGCGTCTTTGGCTACTTTGTTTCTTTCTGAAGTTCTTAGTTTCGCGCTTGGGGCGTCCATGATGAACGTAGGAGGGACGCGTTCGGGCGCGCGACGAGTGTAACGGGGGACTGAGAAGAAGCCGGAGCGGCGCTGAGGTGAAGAAGAAGCCGGAAGCCGGTGAGGGGGAAAGGGAATCCTTAAAGAGTGGAGGAGACTGGATTGGGGTTAACACCTTATTCAATCTGCTTATTAATTACAGCGCTAATTCTCCCGCCTCCCCGCAGTCCTCCTAACAACCCTCTGAGGTAGGCTAGGAGGAGCGGCTCGGTGAACCCTCTGCCCATTGAAGGCTCCTCACTGGCTCTCCCCAGCCCGAGTCCAGTATTTTCTGCACGGCCTCTCGGACGAGCTTACAGTATTTTACAGTGGCCATACGCCCTTTATTATATGGAAAAGACAGCCCTTTATTTCAGAAAGCTGTGCTTTAGATTTAATTTCATTATTTTTCTTGGTTTTGCTCTTCAGTTTTCCTTTGTAAAGCAAAGTTATAACCATAAACAATTTTTTTATTCCTTCTGAACCTCTTTCAGATTGGCCCCTTTTTCAGTTTTTTCTTTTTTTTTTTCCAGAAAATTAGGTTAACGTTAGGAATGTTCCAGA